ACTGAGAGACACCTTGTCTTCAGCATTCCAAAAACATCTCATTGTTAAGTATTGGAAAACTGTTATGAAACCCCTTGTCTCTCTCTCTCTCTCTCTCTCTCTCTCTCCTTTTAGCACTGTGTGACTCCAGTGCGTTTAACCTGGAGACCGAGAACGTCAAGGTGTTTGAGGACCAGAGCCAATGGTTTGGGTACCGTGTCTTGCAGCTGAGCCCAGGGAGGGATAAATGGTGAGAGCAGGCAGAAGGGAGACAGGAAGTGGGGGACCTGTGTCTGGGTGCTGACCGGCAGTCTGTCTTCTCCCAGGGTCATTGTCAGCGCGCCTCTCGAGAGAAACGGGACGCTCTTCAAATGTGACTACAAGTCTGGAACCTGCTCCCGGGTCATTGACTCAGGTCAGTGACGAAAGATCCCAGCTGCCCGATCTGGGTTCGGCTCACGGCTTGGTTCAGTTTGTCGGTGCTGGCAGAGGAGACCCAACTGTCTGAGCCAACAGTGTGTCCGTCAGTGTGTCTGTGTGTCCGTCAGTGTGTCTGTGTGTCTGTGTGTCCGTCAGTGTGTCTGGGTGTCTGTGTGTCCGTCAGTGTGTCTGTGTGTCCGTCAGTGTGTCTGTGTGTCTGTGTGTCCGTCAGTGTGTCTGTGTGTCTGTGTGTCCGTCAGTGTGTCTGGGTGTCCGTCAGTGTGTCTGGGTGTCTGTCAGTGTGTCTGTGTGTCCGTCAGTGTGTCTGTGGGTCTGTCAGTGTGTCTGTGTGTCCGTCAGTGGGTCTATCAGGGTGTCTGTATGATTATCTGTCAATCTTTTCATCAGCCTGTCTATGTGTGAGGTATTGGCTGTGCTGTAGGCATCTGTTGTGTAGTGGTGTCCTGTGTCGATTTTTTTCAAATGTGTGAAAAAAGGTAATGTCTCCTTCTGTGTGTCTGTTGTGCGATAGTCGATTGATGTTGTCTCTCCTGTGTGTGTGTCTGTTGTGCGGTAGTCGATTGATGATGTCTCTCCTGTGTGTGTCTGTTGTGCGATAGTCGATTGATGACGTCTCTCCTGTGTGTGTCTGTTGTGCGATAGTCGATTGATGACGTCTCTCCTGTGTGTGTCTGTTGTGCGATAGTCGATTGATGTTGTCTCTCCTGTGTGTGTGTCTGTTGTGCGGTAGTCGATTGTTGATGTCTCTCTTTCTGTGTAAATCTATAGGTCCAGGGACAATGGGTCTGTCACTGACTGCCAGACAACCAGATGAACTTGTGGTGAGTTATTTCTTTCACCTTTCAGAGGAAACAAGAACATAAAACATGTCCAGAGAGAGGGTGCCTCTGGTGAAAGGAATTAAAAACTCAGACCAGCAGACACTTCTTTACACTGAGGGTAGTGGGAGTGTGGAACAAGCCCATTCAACACTTCTTGAGTCAAGACTTCTCTCAGGACACAGGACTCTCTCTCAGGACACAGTCTCTCAGGAGACACTCCAGTCAGGACAGGAGACTCTACTGTACACAGAGAGGGGTAGGAGTGTGGAACAAGCTGATACCCTGACTTCCCTCAGGACACAGCTGGATGTGACTCTCCAGTCAGGACGGGGGGCACTACTGTACACAGAGAGGGGTGGGGGTGTGGAACAAGCTGATACCCTGACTTTCCTCAGGACAGAGCTGGATGAGACACTCCAGTCAGGACAGGGGGTGCTTCTTTACTCAAACCACTGTTTGTTCCTGGTGTTGCAGGTCTGTGGGCCTCGTCTGCAACATTCCTGTGGGAAGAATGAGTACCTGAATGGTGTGTGTTTCACACTGGACAGGAGTCTCAACGTGTTGCCCAGTAACTACACTCCAGGGTACCAAGGTGTGGCCTGATATACAGTACCTCTCTCTACCTGCCTTACTCCTTTTCTGTCTGTGTGTCTATGTGTATATTTGTGTGCTGTGCTGTGATGTGCTGTGTAACTGTGTTATGTGGTGTTGCTGCGTTGTGTCGCAATGCTGTGTGCTGTGTTGTGTGCTGTGTTGTTACTCACGCTGTGTTGTGCTGTGTTATGTTGTGTAGTGCTGCTGTGTTGTGTACTTACGCTGTGCTGTGTTGTGTGCTGTGCTGTGCTGTGTTATGTTGTGTAGTGCTGCTGTGTTGTGTACTTACGCTGTGCTGTGTTGTGTGCTGTGCTGTG